TGGGAAACTCAAGGTCTAATGAACCCAAGAACGACAGAGAAATGGAGATTTGGTAACTGCACAGTGAAGGAATCTAAGGTTGACTGGTCATCTGAAAGCCTGCTGATGACGCCTATGATTGGCGACAACAGAGTAAGCTGTTGGCCCCAGTTCAAAGACGGGCATGCCCTGAGCCTGTTGCAGGGACCACACCCAGCAAAAACCGATGACCGTCCCTGGGAGACCTGCTTTCAGTTAATTGCATCAGAGTTGTGATCGGAGTATGGGTGCTGCATCTCACCCTAATCTTAAAACTAAAGGATTGCTCAAAGCAGATCTTATTGTGGAAACAATTACATCATGTTAAGTTCTACATAGAATCTATGGGAAATTACTAGATTGCATATGCCACTGAGAATCTTGCCCAGTGTATTTGACACTATAACCTAACTATCACAGCCACTGAAATATTAAAGTTTGCTATGTAGCATAAATCCTCTGATGTATATGCATCAGTCCACTGATACTAGATCTTAGATCTAGATACTAGATCTTAGATCTTAGATCTAGATACTAGATCTTTCTTTTCACTAACAAAGAGAATTGCAACAATTCCAATTTTTAAAAATCCTTAGAATTTCTGAAGTAATGTAACAAATATTTTTGATGCTAGAAAATGAAAACAAAATACTAATGTATCACACAGATATTTTTATTATTTAAATGCTTATAAATCATAAGATATTAATTGTGAATGAAAATGTATCTAGAAAATGATGTACATGTCATATTAATGTTCACAACTGGGTTAAGGCACATAGTACAAAATACTTCTTTTCTGATACAGAGATTCCCCAAATATTTATCTAACCACATTGGCACAAAATTGCTTTAGTACTTTATATGGTACAATATGTCCCTAGTAAGTTTGAGGGGGAAAAGAACTTTGTGGGTAAAAATCAATAAATTACTATTTTACTGGCAAAATCTGTTAGTAGATTCTTTGGGTTTTTTGTGTTTTTGTTTTACAGGGAGGACTGCCATTAAAAATATTACTTGTATACCAATCTTTTAAAATCAAAGTACTACACAACACACAAATTATCCACTTTAAAAGAACAAATATATAAAAATAAACTCTTAATACTGTACCTCATAATTTTCTCAGCAATAATTATTTTATACCAAATTTTTTATGATCTAGATATAAGTAATCTCAAATATAAAATCACTTTAAAATATCTAATGGAAGTTTCCCATATGTAAACATAGTTTTGAGTTTACAAAAATAAGAAGTTCAAAATTTCAGGGAATTCTCACTTGTATAACAAAATGCATTATATAACGGAGATAGTTAATATGTATTGTACCAACCTGGCCGATCAACACATGTGGGGTTAATTGAAGGGTGGAGAGATAAATGGCTCCGTGAGCC